TTGAATTGATCCACGCAAGTGTGTTCGCGCTTCCTCGGCTGCAATACGCAACTTATTATGTAGCCTGGTGACATAGGAATTAACTGGTACTTGGTTATTCTCCAGTGGTACTTGGAGGTCTTCCGGTATCCGCATTTCCCGACCACAGGTGAGAGCGAACGGCGACTGTTGGGTCGAGGAGTGAATCGTGGAACGGTATGCGAGCATGCATGCGAGTAAGGCATCGTCCCACGTGAAGGGTGCCTGACGGTCAACAAAGGCTTTTAACAATCCGATTAGCGTCCTATTCGTTCGCTCAACTTGTCCGTTACCCTGCGGGTGGTAAGCAGTAGTGCGTGTCTTGTTGATCCGTAAGTACTTACAAAGACTGCAAAGAACTACGTTTTCAAATGAACTTCCTCGATCTGAGTGGATTTGGTCTGGGGCTCCCCATCTACATACCCAACCATTAAAAATGGCCTGAGCGACCGTTTCCGCCGACATATTGGGCAATGGTTCTACCTCAGCCATTTTTGTAAAGAAGTCCACCATGACCAGAATGTAACGGTTGCTCCGGACTGATGGAGCTATGGGTCCAATGATGTCAACGCCAACGAGTTCGTTGGAGTAGCCTGTCAAGATTGGTTGAAGGGGCGCTCGGTTCAAGTGAGGTGGCGGCTTTAGTTGATTACACAAGTCGCAATACCGAATAAAATCCCACACATATCGTCTTAAGTTGGGCCAATAGTATCTCCTCCTTACAGCCCACTCCGTCTTATGGATTCCTACGTGCCCTAGCTGAGTGTGTATTCGCGTGAGGACATCGTCGGTCATGGATAACGGTAGAACTATACGCCGGGGATACTGATCACCGTCGCGGTAGAACAATACCCCATTATCTAGAAAAAGCTTATCCCACACCGTGTGCAGACAGCGCGTCTCGTAACTTAAACCCCGAAGCTCGGGTCCACTAAAAGGCCGCGATTCGCCTAGCTTTCTGTAGTAGATGCGGCCTATATGAGGATCACCGCGCTGAGCCTGAGCCCAAAGGCTGCTCTGGTCATCATGAAGTGTTATGTTGCCGATGCTAATGTCTGTGTAAGACGGGCATTCGCCGTGGGGACGATAAGGTTTCCTCGAGAGCGCATCTGCGTTGTTATGCTGGCGCCCTGGCCGATGGTTACAGTCAAATTCAAACGCGGCCAGTCACTCTTGCCATCTCACGACCTGACCCTCGGCATTTTTAAAATTGTGTAGCCATGCCAAGGAACTGTGATCGGTTCGGACGAGAAATTTGCGGTACTGCAAGAATGGCCGGCACTCTTCGATGAAGAAGGTGAGCGAGAGCATCTCCTTCCTGGTTACTCAGTATCTTCTTTCTGCGTTGGTGAGTGACCGAATAAATACTGGATTACTCGTTCAGTGCCGTCCGCCTGCCGCTGAGACAGCAACGCACCAATCGCAGTCTCGCTGGCATCTGTGTCGAGTACGAAAATGCCCGCTTGGTCGCTAATGTCAGGAAAAGTCAAGACAGGACTGGAACAAAGGCTATTCTTAAGGGTTTGGAAGCTGGCTTCACATTCTGGGGTCCATTTAAATCTGACTCCCTTCTGTGTGAGTTTATTCAACGGCGCAGCTATGTGGGCATAATCTTTAATGAACTTTCTGTAGTACGAAGCCAAGCCAGAGAAACTTCTGACCTCTGCTACGTTATTAGGTGTGGGCCAGTCACTAACTTCCTTTACCTTATCTTCGTCCGTTTCGATACCCGATTCCGACACCACTTGTCCTAAGAACTTTACTTTATCTCGAAAGAAGACGCATTTTGCTGGTTTGAGGATAAGGCCTGCCTGCCGCAGGCTGCTGAATACTGATTGTAGGTTTTGTAGGTGGTCTTCGAAATCCTTCTCGAGCACGATGATGTCGTCTAAGTACACCAAACAAGCCTTTGGAATAAACTGGGCAAGGACTTGGTTCATGAGCCGCTGGAATGTGCTGGGCGCATTGGCTAACCCGAAAAGCATGGTTTCAAACTCGTATAGACCAGTGGGCACCGAAAAAGCTGTTTTCTCACGGTCAGATGGCCTTACTTCTACCTGTCAGTATCCGGCCGCCAGGTCTAGAGTAGTAAATACTCTATTATCTGAGAGAGCATCTAGGGTTGCGTCGATACGAGGTAATGGAAAGGAGTCTTTAGTTGTCAATTCGTTTAATTTACGGTAGTCGACACATAACCTCAAGGATCCGTCCTTCTTAATGACTAATACAACTGGAGAGGACCAGGGAAAATTAGATGGCCTGATAATCCTTCGGTGGAGCATGTCATCTATCATCGCCTTTAATTGTGTCTGGTAGAATACCGGCAATCGTCTAGGCGGAATTTCAACTGGCCGGGCCGTACCCGTATCAATTTCATGTTGAGCAACATTGGTTCGCCCAAGTGAACGGCCGTCCCAATCGAAAATGTCCTTAAACTCGTGTATCAAATTATATAAACTGGTCGAACATTCCTTATCCAAGGTAGGTGGGATTAGGCTTTCTATACATTCTAGCTTGACTGTGTTAACTTCTGGTTGACGGAGAGGCATCTCGAACGTAAGTGGCGCTTCAGTACCGCTGACACAGAGGGCGTTAACGTTAAAGTCGAGAGAACATTTAAATGCATGAAGAAAATCTGCGCCTTATATACGGCCACATGCTATGTCACAGCAAACAACAAACCTATGATTAAATACAGCACAACCTAGCTCTATCCCAAGTTCTACCATGCCTACATGCTGTAAATGGGTGCCGTTAGCCGTTTTCAGGCAAACTTTGGGTTTACTGCAATATCTAACTTTCGTTTGTAACTGGCGAAATACGTGATGCCTGATGAGGGATCTTCCTGCCCCTGAATCAACTAAGCATGGAAATTTAATATTACTTATAGATGCATTTACGGTAGGGCAATAAGGCATAGAACCTATATTTGCAATCAATAAATCAGATAAAATTACTAACTTACCGTTCTCTTCTTCCTCACCTGCGGTGGTCGTATGAACACCGGGCATGTATTGAGGGTGAGTCCAACGACCGCGTTGAACCCTCCAGTTTCCACGCCGAGGAGTAGATCGCTGGCCATATCGAGGGGTGGACGGTGGCTGGGGATCCCACTGCCATCTCGCTGTTTGCGTCCCGATGTCGCAGGTCGGTCGCTGTCCCATGGCGAAGACATTGACCGTCTGGCCTTGCGCAGAGGCAGTTTGGAAACGGGGAGCCGCGGCCACTGAGAAAGAAGGTCCGGGGGATGAGGATAGCGCGGTGGAGACCACTTCTTCATCGCGGGCGATGTCGAGTGCCGCTTTGAGGGTTTTGGGTGGGTCCAGCATGAACTTGCGACGAATGTCGGGGTTGGCAACACCATCGACGAAGTTATCGCGAATCCAGGGCAGCGAAAGAGTCGTCTGGATATGCGTGCTTGGCCAGGACACGCAAGTGTCGCTGGATGTCGACCACGGACTCTCCAGAATGCTGGCGACGGTCCCTTAGTGTTGCGCGAGCAACCCATGGCATGGGAGAGCGACCGAATTCTCGCCGAAGACGCTCGAAGATTGTCGCGGTAGTCAGCGAAATAGTGATGTTGGCCGCTCTGGCAACGGCGTAGACCTCACTGTCCAGTTGGTCAAGGATGGCCAGTGGCCGGTTCCCTTCGCTGACGGACTCGAGGTACAACTTCATTCGATCCTCCCAGAGGTCATAATCGTCATATATCGTCAGTTTTTCTGACTTTGGAAGTTGGTCCCCATTTGAAGTCAACTTCTCTATCGCCTTGACGAGTCGGTCCAAAATTTCGTCTGACATGGCCCGATCCCACCGACTGTCACCAATTTGTAAATACCCTAGCCGAGATGAAGGCTAATAAGGCTATGCTATGTCCCGTCTGGTCCCCAGTAAGAAAGAAAGACGAGCTCCTAAGGGGGGAATTATTTGTAAACGACAGCAGACGATATTGAGAGTTCGGGAACAGCGGGATGTCCAATGGCGAGGACAGGCTT